AGAGAGAGAGAGAGAGAGAGAGAGAGAGAGAGAGAGAGAGAGAGAGAGAGAAGTTTTTTGTTTTAGTAGAGGTTCTACGGCGCTCTGCTTGCAGTGTGGCCCGAGCCTAAGGTCATATGAGCGCCAGGAGATTAGAGGTGTTACAAGAGAGTAACATACATAAAAAAAGAAGAAGGGGAGATAAATACGACAGATGTTTGAGAAGGAACAAACCACACCAGAGCACCCGCCAACAACCCACAGAGAGAAGAGAGAGAGAGAGAGAGAGAGAGAGAGAGAGAGAGAGAGACTAGTGAGAGAGAGAGAGAGAGAGCGAGCGAGAGAGAGAGAAAGAGAGAGAGAGAGACAGACTAGTGAGAGAGAGAGACACACACACAGAGAGAGAGAGAGAGAGAGAGAGAGAGAGAGAGACTAGTGAGAGAGAGAGAGAGAGAGCGAGAGAGAGAGAAAGAGAGAGAGAGACAGACTAGTGAGAGAGAGAGAGAGAGAGAGAGAGAGAGAGAGAGAGAGAGAGAGAGAGAGAGAGAGAGAGAGAGAGAGAGAGAGAGAGAGAGAGAGAAGGAGCGGATAGCGGAGGGTGAGAGACTGAATTCGTGGAGCAGAGGAATTGATTCAGGTAAGCATAAGAAGGGGAGGTAAGAGCACGAGCCACCACAAATCTAAACACAAAGATGCTTCTCTTGGCTGTTTGTAATGACGTTCGCAGTGTTGCTGGTTGAAGTGAAGAAGGAGAGGGATTTGAAAGTGGATGAGAAGAGAGATGCATGAAGACCATACCGTGGTGCTTTCAACGGACAAATAACTGTCCCTGTGGTTTTATGCACCCCGCAAAATTTGATCCTTTTTATTCATAATTTCTGATTATTTTCCTTTATCATTCTTTGTTAAAATTAACTGAATCACATAATTTCTCAATTTTGGGCTCAGTTTGCATAATTTAAGATTTTTTCTTGCATAAAACGACGGGGACAGAAATAAGACAGAATCTCAAAAACAGCAAGAGGGATAGTTGTTGAGTAAATAAGAAAAAGAATTGTGGCTTAACGCTGCACACCCCCCAACCACCCACATTAGGCTGTCCCTGTCGTTTTATGCAAGAAAAAGTAAGAAATTATTAAGCAAACTGAGCCCAAAAATATGAAATTAAGCGATTCTGTTATTTTTTTTACAAAGGATGGTAAAGGAAAATAATCAGAAATTATGCAAAAAATGATCAAATTTTGCTAAATTATGCGGGGTGCATAAAACCACGGGGACAGATTTGACATTAGGCTAGGCAATTCTTTGTGACGGTTCACGCCCATTGGCTGGATCGATTCGGTTCGGTTTGGTTCGGGACAGGTCGGTTTCTGGCGGTGTCACACACACGCACAAAATAAATAAACAAATCTCTCTCTCTGTATGCGTGTGTTTATGTATGGGCCTATGTGTGTGAGTGTATGTGTGTGTGCATATGTGTGTCTGTATGAGTATGTGTGTGCATGTGTGTGTGTGTGTAGTGTGTGTGTAGGTGAGTGAGTGGATGAGTGTTCTTGCCACTTCGTTGTGTGTTACTCATCAACCGAAGTGTCAATTTTCAGGTAACTGACCAATGTCCGGCAACAAACGAATAGATGGATATTTTTTCATCGAAGGCAAGGCAAATGTACAGGCTTTAAGATGACGCCAATATCTCCACATGCACAAAAAGTGACGAGCGCCTGATTCCACCATGACATGACACTCACGTATTCTGTTTGTTTTGCGTCTTCACCGTTTCTACAATAAAGGGCAGGTGGTTGGTGGGTGTTCTGGTCTTTATTTTATGTTTTAGTAGAGGTTTTTCGGCACTTGCAAAGTCACTGCATAATAATAACGTCAGATAAGCACCAAAGGGTGGATGTCAACAGAGAAGTCCTTACAGGGAATCAGGCTTACTCTGCTCACCTCTCAAGCTTCAACAGCACAAAGTCTGCTTCGACTACTAAAAAGGAACCCTGGAAATTGCGGGTCACAAGAGAGTGACAAACATGTAAAAAGAAGTAAAGTAAAAATTAAGATTAGGAAAGAAAAAGCAGCAGTTCCCTGTTGTAGATCAGTTCAATTCCTGAGTGGGGAGATATATTTCTTTGAGTATCCCAGTCTTTCCGCTGCGATGTTGTACCCTCTCAGCGTATACTCTCCCCGCCAGGCAGCATTGAAGTATATCTAAATTGTGTTGATGAGGGCATAAAAACACATACAATTACAATGAAAAAAAAAAGAAAGTAAAAGACTTAAGTACAATAATCCCCCCCCCCCCCCTCAAAAAAAAAAGTTTGTTTAAGTAGAGGTTTTACGGCGCTCACAACTGCATAAGGTCATATGCGTGCCACGGGGTGGATGTCAACAGAGAAGTCCTTACAGGGAACCAGATCTACTCTGCTCACCTCTCTATCTTCAACAGCACAAAGTCTGCTTCAACTATTAAGAAACCCTGGAAATTGCGGGTCACAAGAGGGTGACAAACGTACAAAAGAAGTAGAGGCAAATGACGATAGTAAGAATTAGGAGGGGAAAAAAAAAGTGTAGACACACAACAAAGAACAAGAGAGAAAAATGTGGCACTCCATAGAGGCATTTATTACACTTAAAAAGGAAACATGAGTGAGCATGACTCTAAAAATGGGAGCATAAAAAAAAGCAAACAGATTGATGACCACTGAGAATGGGGTAGTACATGTACATCTATCATGTGGTGAAGAACTGACGAGTCCAAAGTCTTATTTAGTCCAGCTCACTTTGGGGATGTCAAAATGTTCAGTGAGGTTGTCAAGCTGCTGGTTGAAATCCTGCAAAGAAATACAGACAAACAATAAGAAAAAATATATA